TTGGCTATGTCTCGCGTGAGGGGGCTATATTCTGAGTATTGCGGGAAAGGTTGTCTATCCCCACGGTTATCTGTTCTTTGTCTTTTTTGGGACCTGTTTTGGTCCCTATCATTGCGGTCTTGGCCCCTGTGCTTGTCTGCTGGGCGATTTTGTCGCCTGTCCGGGGCTTCTCGCGTCAAGCTTCTAGCCAATGTTGCCAGCGAACTTTCCACTCACTAGTGTTTTGCAGCCATTTGATAAAACTTGGCCAGGCTTATGTGGTCTTTGCTTTAGAGCTCTTTCCACAACTCTGTGTTTGGCCTGATACCAGCAATTAGCAAAGTCCAGATTGACTATTCAAGTGCATCCGTGTAACACCTCACTTGATATATGTAATTAAATTATTGTTGCATTGCTTGAATGTTTATTTATTTGTTCTCATTTGAGCTTGCATGTTGTTATTTTTGGTTGGTTGGCCCTTAATTGAATTTTGTTAAAGTTATTTTGAGAAAAATGTGAAGAAAATCCCTTAAACTTTCATTAGGGGTAAAATGGTCTTTTCACTCAAAATTAGTTGAAAAATTGGGGAGTGAAAAGAGATAGAATTTCATGGAGAATGTAACAAAAATGAGGGCATTATTGTAATTGATTAAGGGACATAGATGGAATTACCAAGAAAGAGCAAGGGCAAAATGGGAATGATCGTATGTAAGTTGAGCTAAAAAGGGTTTTAAGTATTGAAAGCCCTTCATTCTTCACCATCTCCACCGCCATTCTCATTCCCTAATTTCTCTCAATCCTCTACTCAATCTTCCAAGAATTTCTAAGGATTTTTGGGGTAGTTTTTAGTAGAGATTTAATCTAAAGCATCCTAAGGTAAGGATTCTTGCTTTAGATAAGAATTTGCTTATGATTTGTTAAAGTCTTATGTTGTTATTGTTTAAAGTTGTAGATAGAAGACAAGATACAAAAGGGAAGGAGAAGTGCTAGAGAAGCCATTTACCCATAAAGTAAGTAAATCTAACCCAAGTTAAGGTTCAAGCAATCAAATGATTGATATGCATGCTTATGTTTATGAGCTTGAGATTGATTGTTGAGAATGATATTATTGATGAGTTAATGGCTTTTGATGAGAAGATTTGAGCCATGAGAAGTAGAAATGAAGTTGTGGTAACCAAGTGAAGTTTGGTTACATTTAGAAAGAATTTAAGTAGAATATTTGAAGTGTTTTTCTTGGCCATGTTTAGATTTATTGTGGAGGAGTTTTGCTCCATCAATGGATGGTTAAAGAAAGAAGTAGAGATGTATCAAAAATAGAATTAAAGTATGCATGCATTATGTTTGATGAAATGCCTAAGTGAAAAGCCTAAGTGAAAACTGCCCTGCCACAGTCGTGACCTTCAGAGTGCTTTTTGGGCATCTTACAGATTGAACTGGATTGAGACCAAAACATAAAGGTTGTAGCCCTGTCTGTAAGCTTTAAAAAGAGACCAGAATTGTAGCAATCTGATATGTATAAACTTAGGTTATGCCTTCTTGAGTGTGACCTGTGCAGAATGACTATCTTGATGCAACATTGTATTTGTGCATTTCATGAGTGCATTAATGAGCATGAGTCATCCATATGCATTAGAGAAAGAGAAAAAGAGTAGAGAACTTTGGGTGTGAGCTTTATTAAGAGAAAAGAGAGAAAAAGAGAATATAGTAGGTTGTACGATGGAGAACCCGTGAGTAATGGGTAGAGTATTCCCGCATGTATGCCGCATTGAGAGAGCGGCATGAGTATGAGAGAGAGAAGTGGTATAGCCCGTGAGAGTGCATGCGGATGAGGGCTATACCCAAGAGTACCCCGAGAGAGAGATTATATACTCACATGGCCAAGGGTTCCGAATCCATGCATAACCGAGTCCGATCGGCTAAGAAAGAGTAGAAGTCACGGAGAACGAGAGCGAGTCCCGGTCATGCCCCTGGTAAGATGGGGTCATGACTTACTAAAGAGAGTTAGTAAAAAAGAGTTCTAAGAAAGAGAAACAAAAAGAGAAAACAGAGAGAAGTATAAAAGAGAGAGTAAATGATAATTGTAAGGAAAGACTTAGAGAGAGAGAGTTACGAGGATAGATGACTAGAGGGTTTACTTACTAAGCATTATTTGTGCTCACCCCGTTGTCTTTCTATGTTTTTGTAGGATTTAGGTGAGAACACGGTCGGATGGATGTCGGCACGCGAGGAGGAATGGCTACACTGTCTACATAGTTTTTGATAGTTTTTGTTTATGATACTAATTTTGTATAAAGAATGTATATGTTTAATAAAAGAAAAATTTGGGCCCAACTACTTATGTTATTATACATGTATTTTATTATGTATATTTTCATGAGTATTTGAGTAAGAAGTAGTTATTACAATCCGTGACCTTTTCTTGCTCGTTTTGGAACCTCGTTAAATACGAGGTCAAGGTTTCGTCTCTCTCTTGACGAATATTTCTCAAGTACCTGAGCGGCATTGTGAATTGTCTCCTCGCCTGGAATTGCTGCAAGTACAATGAGGAGAACTGTTGCCAAGAACTGATGGAGTTCACCTTGAGTCTTTTGTACCACCTCTTGGCATCTCCTACCAATGTGACCGCGAAGCAGCGACATTTTGCTATGTCACAGACCTAGCGCAGCTCCACAGGTCATTGAAATTGTCGAGGTGGTCTCTGGGGTCTCCTCTCTTGTTGAACTTACTCTCTCGCGATCTGAATCCCTGTGGAAGTGGGGCTTGACGAACCTCCTTAGTGAAAGAGGAACTCACTATTTCTTCAACCACGTTGTTCTGGCATGCCTTCAGATCGTCGAGCATTTTTTGCATGCGATCCAAATCTTCATTGCGATTCCCTTGGCTGGATCTATTCAACGTTACTTCGAGCAAGCGTGTTCGCAAATTTGTTCTTGTGAAGCCCCTCCATTGCATACATTGATGCGTGAAGTTGAATCATGATGGCTAGGTTGATAAGTGCTATCATGCTTATTGGTGCATTGCTCGCGACGTCGGTTATAATTGGAACGTCAATCGTTGCCAGACTAGCGCACGTGACTCGTCTCGCAAGCTTACGAGGATCGAGCTTGTTTTAGGCGTGGGTTAAGACCAGCATGCTGACACTAGGGATATTATCGAGCATCTCGAGGGTGACCGTTGCCTTCGCCTTCACCCAGTGGTTGCTTCCCTGACCGCCTCCTAGGGTTAGCTGGCCCATAGGACTCACACTTGTGAGCAGAGTGTGGGAGTATCGGTTGCCTCTTGGCACCGATGAACCAGACTAACCACCTACTGAATTCATACCTGTTGGGGTGGCATTGGTGAAACGTGGCTGGTCGAGATTCTAGGCAGTTGGTTGTTGATTTCTCAGCTCAGCCACGTTTTGCTGCACCGCTTGTGTAACCATAGTTCTAATCATTTCCACCAGCTGGCCATTCTCAGGGTTTGATGTTCCTACCCCCTGGTTATTCGCGACATGCTGGGATGGTGACAATGGTGGTCGATGCCTAGTAGCGTCTTGTTGCACCTCCTAGTGGTGGCTTCCATGTCGTAGTGGTTTTCGGTGGTGGTTTTTGACCTTGTACATACCATCGTAGTCTTGGAGTGGTTAGATTGTTGGGGTTGTTTGCCAAAATTTCTGAGATGTTGGCGAAAGCCCTCCTTCTAGCGCCAAAATGTTGATATAGAAATCTGCACCAACTAGAGTGATTCGATTGACCTTGGGGGATCGGAACTGGTGTGTACGTGATTACGGATAATCAACAATGAACGAATAATGAATATAAAGAAGAAGATGATGCAGAGATTTTTAAAGTGGTTCGGCGAGATAAACTCTTGAGCCTACGTCCACTGTTCTTTGTATTTGCTGTGAGAGCTTACAGTCTAAGTTCTATCAAAATTTTCTAACCCATTTTTCATCATTTGAGGGGGGTTTATATACAAAGTTTGTACAAGAAGCAAGAGCGAAATTAAAGGGATTACAATTAAATTGAATTGTAACTCCAATATTCTCGCGATTGGGCGCTGTGATTGCACAAAGATTGCTGTCAATTCGATTATTCCTGTAATATATGGGATCTGCAATTATCTGGGAATTGTTTGAATGATTATTCAGATTTTTCGCAACTAGCTTGTGTTGGGTCGAGCTATACCTCGACGAGCTTATGCTGGGTCGGACAACTGGTATAGTCGAATTGATTCTGGGTCGAGCTAATACCTCGCAACTCTCCAAACTTGGTGGAAAAATCATACGCAACATTGCTCACTCAAAATTTTTACACCTTCACTTTAGCAACTCTAGTGGTAATCCACGTTACTCTAGCACTAGAGTGGTTCTAATTGAGCACAAGATTTTTTGAAAAATATTTAAAAAAAAAAGAATATAAAATGAATACAAGAATTATTTTATTTTTTTAAAAATAAAGAAAAAAATTACTATAGGGCTAGAGTCAGCTAGATTCAAGCAATAGAGTTGACTGGACTCTAGTGACTCAAGTGCTAGGGAGACTTTTTGTAGTCAATAGAGTAAAGAGGGTAAAAGTGAAAAGAAATTAGATGAAGGGTCTTCTCAATTAAGTCAATTAAGAACAGTCAAATTTTAATTTGACCCCTAAAAATGGTTTTTTAAATAAATATTTCATAAATATTATATAATAAAAGTCGTTTTAAAATGTATTTTAGGGTACAGGTAAAAAATATTAGAAGGAAAAAAAATTAGTATTTTGATATATTGAAAATAATTTTTTTCTTTTTTTGTCTTCTTGCACATAATATGCATCCAGCTAGTAAATCTTGTATTTTAATGCTTTTATTATATATTCTAAAAGCACATATTAAGACAACCCTATAATCAAATGTCGTACCCTTCATATTATCTTTTTTAACAAATTCTTAGATTATTCGGGGAAAAAGGAAATTAAAGAAAGTATGGGGCAAAAAAATTGTGAAAAACGATTATTCTAATTAGTACTCGGATTTCTAATTTCCTTACTTTTGTCACCCCAAAATAAACGAACACCTTGCGCGTTGGTCGTTACTTTTGTCACCTCAAAATAAACAAACGCTGTGCGAATCCATGGAACTTGAAAGGAGAATCATCATCATCATCAGGAGTCTCCATCACCACCACTGCCGCCTCCACCACCACCCTCCTTCACACCATCAAGGCCTCATTGGCCTTTTAGTTTTCATAAAAAATAAAAAATACATATACAAATAAATTAGTTAGAAACAAAGTACAAACCTCTTTTTTTTATATTATTATCATTTTTCTTCAATGGGGAAGTACGCCTTGTTGTTTCGTTCCATCCGTCGTCGTTTAAAGAAGAAACGTGACCCACCCCCGCCAGCGCCGCCTCCGCTCCCGCCAATTGGTGCTTCGGCTTCTCCTTCGGCTCAGAACGTGATCGGCGGTGGTTGTGGTGGTGGGGCCGTGGCGGCAAAGGCGAAGAAGAAAGCGAGGCTGTGGATGAGGTTTGATTTCACGGGGAAATCGGAGCTTGTTGAATGTGATAAGGGTGTTATTATTGAACGCGCGGGGATTCCGGGGAGGGATTTGAGGATTCTTGGCCCTGTGTTCTCTCACTCTTCTAATATTCTTGGTAAGTTTTTTTTTTTTTTTTTTTTTTGTGTGTGTGTGTGTGTTTTCTGATCTGGGTGTGGTGAATTTTATTGTTTCGATCGGTTGTTTTTGTGAAATTTTGATGTTTCTTGTGTTAAGAAGTGAATTGATTGAAGTAATTTTTAGAGGGATTATGAGGTATAGAAGAGCCAGTTTCTCTCGTTTGTTTGTGTTGATGGAGTGAGTATGATTTGCCAAATTGATTGAGGTTGTTTTGTATTTTGGAGGAGTTTGGTGTCAAGGTCATTATTTGTACAGAAAATTTTGGTCTTTGATCATGTAATTAAAGTTAGTCTTAAGCTAGTTGTGTATTGTTTGAATTTTCAGAGAAACTTTGCTTAGAGAGGAGTCTTCATCATTATTTTATGGTGAATAGGTGGTAATAATCGTGCTAGAACTAAATTTTACTCTGCAGCAGCTTTCAATGTTCTTGGTGTCTATCCATTGACATGATTGTTAAGGAAAGGAGTATCTATAAATTGTGCATAGAAATCATAAGAATTAAACACCCGCTTGGAATTCATAAGTCTCCAAGCACCAGTTAAATTTTTTGAAATTTTCTTTGCCTTTTAATTTCAGATGAATTAGCTAGTTTTCTTAGTTTCAAGGCTAATAAAATCAGGTGAAAGTTCTCACTTTGACCATGCAATAGCACTTAGACTTTATATGATACACTTCATTGTGGGTTGAGCATCATTCAGCCGTTCAGTTGGCAAGTTTATTTTGATGGTCACACTAAATGTGATTTGGCATGTTGAGTGATAGTTTAAATTATGGAGGCTAGTGAGATTCTGATCACCCTTCTATACTGATGCAAATCACTTTATGTAATTGGTAATATTTTTAATAAACTGTTTAGTGATAGCTATTGTGGCTTATATTCTCTTTGTACAGATTCTTGCCCCGGTTGTGATTCGCGTGGCAGTACAAATAAATACAAAGGTGGCATTAGATTCATTATCAGCATAGGCGTGTTTATGGTTTTAATGCTTTATTTTCGCATATCACTTTGCCTTTTTGCTTCATTCTTCCAAACATATCCTTTATGTGTTGAGGAAGCTGTTGTCTATATTTTCCTTTTAATATTTACTCACCGTTGCGGGGTTTCTGTTTAGTTACTGCCTAATATTTTACTTGAATTACACACATTGCTTCTGAAGAGATTGATTTTGATAAAAATGTGTGTCCTGTCTTACTCTCTGCAGCTAGGGAGAAAGCCATGGTTGTCAATTTGGAGTTCATAAAGGCTATAGTTACATCTCAAGAAGTGCTGTTGCTTGATCCTCTGCGCCAGGAAGTGCTTCCTTTCGTGGATCAGATTAGACAACAACTTCCTCATAAAAGCTCCTTTAGCACCTCTGGAGCAAGGGCTGCAGATGTGCAAGATAATGAATTGCAGGTTTCCACACGTGGACTGTGGTCACCTATTCCAGAAGCTGTTGAAGGTGGACAGAATGAGCTTCCATTTGAGTTTCAGGTTCTGGAGATTGCATTAGAGGTTGTCTGTACATATTTGGATTCCAGTGTGGCTGAACTTGAGAGAGATGCCTACCCTGTGTTGGATGAACTAGCAAGAAATGTTAGCACCAAGAATCTTGAACATGTGCGGAGTTTGAAAAGCAATCTTACACGTCTACTTGCCCGCGTACAAAAGGTATTTGATGAATTTTATTCACTTGCTTTTCCTGGTTCTTATAGTTCTTTACTCTGCACATCTCCAGTTGTCATGTATGGTAGAAAGAGCTTCTATTGTTACCTCATGGTGAAGTTTATGGTTGGGTTGTAGAAGGATAATGTCAGAGTGTAATTCTTCTCACAATCTTTTTTGTCATTGCCGATGAATATGGTAGAGCAGTTGACAAAATGATGGAAAAAGCTAAGAATATCACTAGTTTATGCATTCAGATGTCTACCACTACCAAGTTTCTATGCATGGGAGTATCAACGTCAATGATATTTATAATTTCTCGCATAAGGCAGTTTGTGGCATTTATGCCATTGTTTGAAATGGCTATCTTGTGGTCTTAGTCGGGATTTCTATGTTCAACAGGAATCAAATGGAACTATGGGAGGGAATTCTGTTTTGGGTAGTGATTTCATTGAAATCAGGAGACAAGAGCACTTTTTTTGTTTTTTTGAACCGGAGAATACTAGATATGTATTTGCTTTGTTGTATGGTCTCTATAATTTACTGATCAGATAGTACTATAGTTGACTGAAGACTTGAGAGTATAAGTAGTCTTGAAAAGTTTTTAAAGTATAAATAATTTTTTTTGGTCTTTATTTATTTATTTATGATTTCCAACCTTTCAAGTAGATTTAAAATCTTATCTCTGTTATAAAGACCAAGTATTCTTACTAGACAAGCATGTTTGATACCATACAAGATTAGATAAATTAGTAATACACATACAAACTTTCTATACAACTCTTTCATAGGAACTGGTATGTCACTGCTACATGACTGCTAATGATTTATTTTAATTTGTTTAATTTATTATAGCTTTTGCTCTTCCAATCACATCAGGCACATAAGTTTGTATGAGTTGGTTTGCACAAAGAGTTTGTATGTGTATTTTGTGATTTTGATATTTATGCTGTAGAAAGCTTTTACACTTGAAATAAGCTTATGCGTGCTTACAGTTGTTGGTTGGTGAAGCTGCACCATTATCTATTTGTTTATCATTTGTAGTGAGACACTTTTCTGTGTATGTCAGGTGAGGGATGAGATAGAGCATTTACTAGATGACAATGAAGATATGGCACAATTATATTTAACAAGGAAGCGGATCCAGAATCAGCAAGCTGAGGCTTTGCTAGCAGCTGCAGCTTCGAATAGTATTGTTGCACGAGCACCTCATCTTCGTCGACTTAGCTCTAACAGGAGTGGAAGTTTGGTGACAAGTACCTTTATGGATGATAATGATGTAGAAGATTTGGAGATGTTGCTTGAAGCTTACTTTATGCAGCTAGATGCAACACGCAACAAGATACTTTCTGTGAGTGATTTCCTTCTTGATTATCACAAGGATATTTGTCACTCTCTTTCATAAACTTGAACACAATATTTTTTCCTCCAAGGATTATTTAGGTAGTTGGTAGTGGGTTTCTGGAATCTTTCTTGGTTAATATGAGAGCACATAAATGCAGTCTCAAATTTTTATTAGTAGTTCGACAATTATACTGTATTAATCAGCCAAGTTAACTTCATTATTTTTTTTAATTAAATTTGATTTTGCAGGTCCGTGAATATATTGATGACACAGAAGACTATGTCAACATCCAACTTGACAACCAGCGTAACGAACTCATCCAGCTCCAGTTGATATTGACCATTGCATCCTTTGCTATAGCTGTTAACACCTTGATAGCTGGGATATTTGGGATGAATATCCCTTGTGAACTGTACCATATTCACGGGATATTCGAAATTTTCGTTGGGAGCACAACAGCTGCTTCTGTACTGCTTTTCATACTCGTGCTAGGATATGCCAGATGGAAGAAGCTGCTTGGTACATAGAGTCATTGTCAAGTATGGCTATGATTTCTTAAATTTACGAACTTTAGTTTCTTATTTATGAATCCCAATAATGTTTATTATGGAAAACGCATACAGGAGATGATGACCAAGTTCCAAATGATTCTTGATACATCATGTAAAAATTTGAATGGACAAGTACATTGCTTTTCTTCTATAGTTCTTCAATGTTAGTGGCCTAATGAGCATGGGGTTCTTTTGCACTGATGGTTGTCAACTGTGCCATTTGGATTTGTAGTGTCACCAGCTGTCCAAAAACAGTCGAATTGTCTGGTACTGTTGCCGGGATCTCCAGGTTTTTAGTAACCCTCCTCAGTGTTATTGGTGATATGTAATGTTATATTTAACGCCAAATTTGTAATGCATTGTGAATTGTAACTTGTTATTTTGATAACGAATAGAAGTTACCATTTTTGTGTCGAGTATCATGAAAATGTTAGTGTCAATATTTTTGTGCTACTTTTAACGAAAAGGAAGAGTATCATGAAACAAAGGAAAACGATACAGAGGAAAAAGAAAGACAGAATTGTAGAGAGAAATATCCTCTTGTGTATTGAATGATGCCAATGATACAGATATATACAATAACCAAAAATATCCTAACAAACCTATCCTATACAATGACAATATTATCCTTTATGTACAGCTCATTACAGAATTTATGTACAGCTCATTACAGAGGCGACAAATAACAAATAAAACAGAGAAACATAATTCAGTTAACCATGCCATCCTTTTCCTTTTCTTCGTTGACGTGGCATTGTGATGATTCATCCACTAATACCCGAAACAAACCCCCCCTCCCCCCCCCAAAAAAAAAGATATATACAATAACCAAAAATATCCTAACAAACTTATCCTATACAATGACAATACTATTCTTTATGTACAGCTCATTACAGAATTTATGTACAGCTCATTACAGAGGCGACAAATAACAAATAAAACAGAGAAACATAATTTAGTTAACCATGCCATCCTTTTCCTTTTCTTTGTTGACGTGGCATTGTGATGATTCATCCACTAATACCCGAACCCCACCCCCCACACGCAAGATGGAGTGTAAAAATTTACGACTCTCATCTTGGATAAGTGAAAGATAAGAACCGAAGAGGATAAAGCCTTTGTCATGATGTCAGCAAGTTGATTGGAGCTTGAGACATAACGAGTACATATGTTGCCAGCCTGAATCTGGTTTCGAATTATATGACAGTTGAGCTCAATATGTTTAGTCCTCTCGTGGAAGACAGGATTTGCCGTAATATGAATAGCAGCTTGGTTGTCACAATGTAGCAAAACGGGCTGAGGATGGTGGACATGAAGTGTAGACAGAATGTATCTCAGCCAGGTTAATTCAACGCAGGTGACAGCCATTGAATGGTATTCGGCCTTTTTCGAGGACTTAGATACCACTGATTGTTTCTTGGATTTCCAAGAGATCAAGGAAGATCCAAGGAAAATGCAGTAGCCACTAATAGAACATCTGGTATCAGGGCAAGAGGTCTAATCGGAATCACAGTAAGCCTCAAGATGTAAAGAGGAAGAACTAGGGAACAGAAGTCCCTGACCGGGTGCACCCTTAAGGTATCGAAGAACTTTGTGGGCCACATGTAAATGAGCATCAGTAGGATTTGCCATGAATTGGCTCAAATTCTGGACACTATAGCAAATATCAGGCCGAGAGACTGTAAGGTATAGGAGTCTGCCAATAAGACGTCGATAAATACTTGGATAAGATAATGGAGTGCCAGTTGCCTACGTAAGGTTGAGGTTTTCCTGCATTGGAACCTTAGCAGGGGTGCTACCTAAGGTGCCGGAATCTGCAAGAATATCTAGTGTGTACTTCCTCTGGCAGAGATGAATGCCGCTTGATGATCTGGCAACCTCAATGCTGAGAAAGTAGCGTAATGATCCAAGATCCTTGATTTGAAAATGCCTGTGAAAAAGAGACTTCAACTCGGGCACAGCAGCAATGTCATTGCTTGCAACCAATATATCGTCAACATAAACAAGGATAACAACAAATGTGCCATTAATGTCACGGGTGAAAAGGCTATAATCAGCCTTGGATTGAGAGAAACCTGCAGCAAAAAGAACATTAGAAAATTTGGAATACCATTGCCTTGAAGCTTGTTTGAGACCATACAAGCTTTTGAGCAATTTACAGACTTGAGTGGGTGACCTTTTTGTGTAGCCGGGTGGTTTATTCATATAAATATCTTCATTCAAGTCCCCATGCAAGAACGCATTATTTACATCAAATTGATGTAAATGCCAGCCTTTAATCGATGCAATAGCTAAGAGACATCGCACGGTAACCAACTTAGCCACAGGAGAAAAAGTCTCATGATAGTCTACTCCCTCAAGTTGGGTGAAACCTCGTGCCACCAGTCTGGCTTTGAGACGTTGAACACTCCCATAAGAGTTATACTTAATTTTATAAACGTATTTGCAATCAATGTGAAATTTTCCATGAGGCAAATCTGTAAGGTGCCAAGTTTGATTCGCCTCCAAGGCTGCTAATTCAGTGTCCATGGCCTTACACCATCCGGGGTCTTTAAGAGCTTGCTTATATGTTTTTGGTTCAGTGTGGGTGGAAATAGTGGTTGAAAAAGCTTTTTAGGTAGGAGAAAAATGCTGGTAAGAAATACTGTTGTGTAGAGGTGAAGTTGTACCTGATGGTGAACATAGCAGNAGCGAGTTAGTAGAAATGATTTATGAGATGATAGAGAGAATTACAGAATGAGAAAGAATGAGATAGAAAGAGAGAGAGAGTATGAGAATGAAGGCGAAAGTTTGAGCTAAGAAGAATAGAGAGTAGAAGAAAGAAAAATGCAGTTCTTTTGTATTAATTGCATGTAGAGCTTATACAGGCGAGAACCATGATTTTCCTTCATGGTGAGTATGATGAGAATAAGAGAGAACCATGATTGTCCTTCATGGTGAGTAAGAATAAGAGAAAAAGAACAGAGAATAAGAATAGAGAGAAAGAATAAAAAGAGTAGAACAGAGTTAAAGGAGAATAAAAGTATCAGAAAGAAAGAGAATAACAGTGAGAAATAGAAATAGAAGAACAGTAGAGTAAGGAAAGAACCAAGGAGTGAGTTGCGGGGACAGATAGCAGAGGATTTACTTACTGAGCATTGTTGTGCTCACCCCGTTGTTCTTCTTTGTTTTGCAGGAAATAGGTTCAGCGGTCGGATGGACGTCGAGGAGCAAAGAGTATTGGCACCACTATCCCCCAGTCATGATATTTTGTATTAATTAGAAAGTTTTTAACACATAGTATTTTGTATTTGTCAAGAATTATATTTTATGAGTAAAAAAAAATTTGAGCCCACTATTTTCCATACGCTATGTATATCTATAATTTACATAGTATGTATTTTAAGAATAGTAGTAAAGAGGAGGTATATATATATATTAGCATTTAACAATAATGATAACTTATTTAAATATATGCTAGCTCATATTTAAACGTAATTTCATTTATTTAATTTTTCTAACAAATTAAATAAAGGCTACGACCTCAGCAAATTTAATTGCACTGTGAAATTACCAAAATACCCTTTCACCCAAAGAGACAAAAACACCCTTCTAACTTCCTGGCTTTTAAATTATCTTCTATATGTGTGACCCATAGGCTCCTCATCATACCGATAGTGTATAATATCGTGATTAACACCAATTAATCGTCTTACTAATACACAGACCAAGATTGGCCCCTAGCAAGGCATCATGGCCACCCGATCGATTCGAATTCAGCAAAGTAGCTACCTGTCAATGATATGGTTACCGTACAATTCGATCATTTCATCATCCGTTATCTCGATGAGACCGAGGCATAGAAATAGTGTCAACCTTCAGTTACTCTCGATATTGTGTATTCAGTTACTGGTCCAATGACCTATATTATAAACTGGATAGAGCAACAACTCAATCCCACTATGGCCACAGTTTTAGTGTCATTGTCATTTACTGAATTGCGTCATGAGATAACTTCTCCTGTACCCGGGAGTGATGAATCCTCTGTCTATCCACCATAGTCTTGATACAATCCTTGATACAACCAATCACTACCGTACTGACAGCTCTGAATAAAACTGCGTTAGGCTAGTGTCAAACTACACCAATCAGTGCACAAGGCGTTCCGGTGATTTCAAGTCTAAAGATCACATGCATGTAACACCCAACATGGTACATGATTTAAATTATGTTGTATAGCCCTTAGTTAAATTTTGTTAGAATTATTTTAAGAGAATATGAAGAAAATGCCTTAAACTTGCATTAAGGGTAAAATAGTCTTTTCACTCAAAACTAGTTGATTTTGTGGGGAGTGAAAAGAGATAGAAAATCATAGAGAATTCAATAAAAGTGAAGGCATTTTGGTAATTGACTAAGGGACAAAGATGGAATTTCTTTCTAAGGGACAAAGATGGAATTTCTAAGAAAGAGTAAGGGCAAAATGGGAAAGTGAGTTTATAAACTAAAATGTTAAGGGTTTGAAACCCTTATTTCGTTCATACCACCCCCACACTCCTCCTCCTTTTTCTCTCAAATTTTCATTCACTTTTCCAAGGAATTTGAGGGCTTTTGAGTAGATTTTCATAGGGTTTTGATTCAAGGCATCAAAAGGTAAGGATTCATGCTCTTTATTCATGTTTTATTTGTGTAAAAGTTGAGTTCTTATGAAGTTTATGCTTAGGGTTAAGAGAAGATTTGAATCCAACAAGAGTAGAGAGCTTAGGAGAGACTACTCAAGCATAAGGTAAGTAAATTCCACTCAAAATCCAACTCAAGCTAAAATTTAAGAATTCAAGTGAGTAGAGATTTATTTTAAATATGCATATGTTGTGATTATTGAGAAATTGAGATGAAATTGATGAATTATTGAGGAGTTTGATGATTATTAATGAGTAGAATTTAGCCATGAGAAGTGGTTTTTGTTGTATGATGATTCATTGAAGTTTGGTTGAAGTTAGAAAGAGTTGAGTAGAATTTTTGGGAGTGTATTGTTTTTGGCAGGTTTAGTAGTTGTTTGCTGGAGTTTTACTCCAAATATTGGTGACTTGAGAAAGAGATAGAATGGTAGCCAAATTCGGATTGAGTATGCATGCAATATGTTTGATGAAAAGCCTAAGTGAAAACTGCCCTGTCACATCCGTGACCGTCTGAGTGATTTTTGGGTATCTTAGAAATTGAACTGGGTTGAGACCAAAACATAAAAGTTATAGCCCTGTCTCTAAGCTTTAAAATGACACAAAAATCGTAGCAATCCGATGTGTATAACTCAAGTTATGCCTTCTTGAATAAGACCTGTGCAGAATGACTATCTTTGAGGCAACATTGCATTTGTGCATTTCATAAGTGCATTTAAGTAAGAAATTTTAAACATGTGCCATCCATATGTATATAATTGTGTATT